GTTGTAGATCATGTTAGAAGCTGTGTGTAGCAGATCCAGTCTTGAGGAAAAATGTGCACTCTAAAACTCTCAAACTCAAGGGAATAGAAAACAACTTGCTCTTGAGATCTTGCTGAAGTTCAAAACACGAGACAACATTCTTAACTATTATCAATCTCATTTTTCTTAGCATAACAATAGGTACTCTGATATATAATGTCATGTTCAAGTAAGCATGGTTCTAGGGACTTCTCAAAATATTCCTTGGCATAATCAGATTTGAAAAATTTTAATTCTTAAACTTAATGAGTGATGTCTGATGGAAATGATGAGCCAATGTACATTCATCAAATTAATAAAATTAATCTTTTTTCTGATCAAATCATAAAAATATGTACATTTATAAAAACAAAATGATGAGTCAATGTAGGAACCTCATTATGATATAACTGGGAAAATCTAGAAAAGTCATCCCCAAACAGTAAGAAATATCTATACCTTCTCATGGTGGGGATATGCCCTCAGAATTAATAGGCACAATTTGAAAGGAAGTCACTTTTTCATTACTTGATAAAAAACTAGTTTTAAAATGTTTAGCAACTTTAGAACCTTTACACTTCAAATTGTAAGGATATATTTCCATACAATATCATACTAAAGGTGTAGTCTAACTAGAAATTCAAACACCTTGTTTCACTTCACCAATTTTCTATGGGTTAGCAACATCCTTGGGATTTTCCCATTCAACTGCTTCTAGGTGATCTATTTCTTACCATAGAGGACTTCAACATAGAAAACTAATCTGATAATATTTTCTCCATTGCTCTTCAAATTATTAATTTTGAAACTATTAAGCTTTGGCTACATCTAGTGCTTGATAATAGGTTTCTAAGACATTATCCCAAATCTCCTTTCCTTATTTCATTCATAAACAATTTTCACTAATGTGGGGAAGCATGGAATTGTGCAGTTAGGTCATTATCTTGTAGTTTTTTTAACCCATTTACCATGTGAGGGATTTGTAGGATCTGGCTCACTCATTGTTCTAGTCAAATAGCCAATTTTACCTTTCCAATCAATAACTAGGGGTGAGCAAATGGTTTATTCGGTTAAAAACCGAACCGAATAAATCAAAATTTTAAATGGAAAACCGAACCGAAACCGAAATATTAAAAAACCGAAATAACCGGAACCGAAATTTTCGGTTATTTTGGTTAAAACCGAATTTCAAAACAATATGTATTTTAATATATATTATAGATAGTAAATATGTATTATATATTAAAAAAATATATTATACAATGTATATAATAAATTATATATTTTAATATATAATATAATACAATATAATATATTTTATACATATTATATATGTTTTATATGTTATATATATTATAGATAATAAAGTTCAGTTAATTCGGTTAACTGAATTTCTAAACCTGAAAACCGAAACCGAAACCGAAATAACCGAATCGAAAAACCAAAACCGAATTTTTGGTTTTAACCGAATAATGCTCATCCTTATCAATAACTAACTATACATGCAAACTGCATCCATTCAAAATAATTTTTGCCATTGAGTTTCACAGTGTTTATTTGTGTGTTGGGGCTCTTGCAAACACCACTTGTAACCACCCTTGGCTCAATGTCTGCTTTGAAATTGCCCCCAATTCATAACTCCATAGAAAACACAAAGCCTTCATGATCAGGACAAATAATAATTCCTAAGAGCTTCTCACTGGTAGAAATGGGTGATTGGCTGGGTGCTTACTCTAGCTGCCCAACTTAAAGAAATCAGAAAATAAAGGTAAGAGCTGAAAGCATGGAAAACATAAATAGTAAACAGATTTTTTTTTGATAAATATAAATAGTAAACAGATTTTTTTGATAAATATAAATAGTAATAGATTGTTAATGTATGCAATTATTTTTTTCCTTTTTCGGGTCCTAGCAAGTAAATCATCTATTGAATATGAAATGGTATACCGTACACCCTAAACGAAAGTAGACCTTATGTTTTGCTGGATTTGTATTTGTCGATTGCATTGGCAAGACCTGTTAATACAATTGATGCCAGTTCTGTGGGGGTTTTGAATGTGAAAGTAGGTCCGTTTGGAGACCCTCACAGAGTGATAGGTGGATAGGTGACAACACACAATGGAATGGTTTTATTGCGTGTGTTGAAGCAGCTGCATTTATGTTCTTCTCATGTATCTCCTGATTTTTGATTTTGTTTCTTTTGTCTTGTGCTTGGTTGTTTTTGAAATTTAGAGGTAGGGGTTGGTTTTCTGGAGGTATAGTCTTGTTTCTCTTTTCTCAGGTGACTTCTGGGTGCCTTCCGTTGTATTCTTCTTGTTTTTTTTTTTAATATTTTTCTTCTTTTATTACCAAAACAGTGTTATCTCCTAATTTCTTTCCTCTAGGCATTTGGCTAGGGTTACATATTGCTTATAAGATTCTAAATGACTTAATTTTTGGGAGCTATTTTTTACTTATATTTTCTAGGAACTATGTGTGTTAATATGGCAGTTTTGGTGGGTTTACCTCTGTTTTTTGGATATCTATACATAGGTGTTGTATCATTCAAATGCTTCAAATTATAGTATATATTCATCTTTCAACATCTTGTCTAGCTATGTCCTTGTCATATTTGGGTAACATATGTTGGAGTAGAGTTAGAATCCATCAGATGGATGGCTGAATCATACTAGATGTCTGGCTGAAATTTCAAAAATTTTTCTAACCTTTTTGGGAACCGATTTCCCGGTAAAGTTGAAATTTGAAAATTCAGGATCGTTCTTGCATTGAACCAGACCAGATTTGAAACCAAAGAGAAGGGAGATATCAGTCCTAAAACCACAAGTTGCAGCTCCTAAGGTGGTAGTTCATGCCCAATATCAGTCCTAAAACCGACCTCCAACTAAAGATGGCGTAGTGTACAGAGAACCGACTCAGCAACACTTGATTTTAGAATCTGCTATCCAACTTTCTTGGATCGAGTAGGGTAATTGAGCCTGCTATTCTTCTATGATTTTCTTGCAAAAACAAAGAAGAAAACTGATCTAAAACCAGTTCTTGAAAGGCTAGGTCATTGTAGGGTTTCTTGGGAGACAAAAGAGAGAAGAAGAGAGAACAAGAGAGAGAGGTTGTCTAGTCTTGTTCGCCCTCTTCTCCTTTTATCTCTTAATGGATTACATTCCTAATCTAATTAGGAGATTATCCAGATCTGAATTGGATCTGGACTCTTTTAACAATTAAACATTATCCTCTTGAGAGGATAAGTGCTCCATACCCAATACCAAACCCATATTTGACCCAAATCACATGACAACTTACATCTTAATTAATCTAATTAATATTAGGCCTTTGTCCCATTTTCTTCAAAGGCTCATGACCTTAGGTGTTGCATGGTCACTTTAGGCCTGATACTATATGGCGTGGGGCCCCATAAAGGTCTCACTCAAGTCTATAAGGGTCCGGCCCCACCTCTGAAAGAGGCTAGGCCAAATTCACTATTCAGAGTAGTGAACCCTTGAGGCAATCAGCATGGTTTCAGTCTGGGCCCAACCTTTACACCTAAATGATCCATGGATTTAGCCACCCTATGAAGAGTGAAGACTTAAGGATAATGGACTTAAGTGAGATAAAGCCCATAAGGTAATCAGCCCTGTAATGGTCTCTTACACTTAACCTCTCAGCCCATAATGATCAAAACACTGCCCGACAGGGAAGGACCTCTCCCCTAGCTGCAAGGTGCAATATCACACTCTCTGCTCAGATGGATCTCGAGATTAAAACCTTTTGCAAACCTTTTTCATAAAATAGTAGTATATATAATGTATAAATACATTTTGCAAAACCAGATTTCAAATACAGTTGAAGTCCACTGTCTTCAATTTAGGTTTCCATTAGAGAGAGTGTAAACCCTGATATTCACTTTGTTTGACAAATGGGCCAATTCTATCACTATGAGCACCCCCTAAGGTGATTTCCTAATTTGCCCCAACATGCTAGGTATTTCACCCTTGATGGATCTCACTGATTGGCACATCAAAGACAGCCCAATCCAACACCTAGTGAGTACCATAATCAAGTTTGGGGTTATGTGTAACTTTTCAGTTTTGTCCATCTATCTCCAAGGTCTACGGAATAACCGGAAATCAGTCCGGGTTCAGTATTTCTTCCAAACACACACTTTGGGGTCTAACCCTATTAGCTGAGACAAGCTACTACAATTGTTTGGTAGCGAACTACTGTCAGCCTTGTCAGGATAAACTTCCAAAGTCTATCAAACGGTTAGAACATCCTAAAGTTACACGAGTCTCATAAGTGTCCAGTTTAAGGGGTAAACATACCAATATCAACATGAAACAATAATGTACTTTATTCATTTACAAATAAATGTTTATGTACATTAGCTTGATTAGAGCTAAGGGCATACATTGTCTAATAAAATAGGTGTTTACATCACTAATTACTTCGAAAATAATAGTGGCCCAGGATTTAAATTTTTGTAGGTTGGATAATTGGATTATGGATTGCCTCATATCCATATGGAATTGATAATCCATGGTTGGGGCTTTCATTATTTTGATTCTATTGTTTGTCATTTTTTTGCAGAAGTCCTATTTTCTTATTTTCATTTTGATAAGTTATTCTTGTGAGAGGATATTCCTCTATTGCTTTCGAAACATACTTTCTGATATGTTTGCTATGGATTTCTCTATGAAGGGTGTCATGTGAAATTGTTTGTATCTAGTCACATAAGATAAGTTGATGGTTGCAATTTATACTTAATAAGTGATTCAATAATCTGATTTACATATCTTGTATTTAATGCAAGTTGCTGCAATATATGGTTTGAGTACATATCTTGAATTCTTCTTTTAAATCAAATTTTATGTCCAGTGTGAGCTGTTCTTTTTCTTTTCTTGTACTTTTTTCTTGTTTGGCCTCTATTTTTTGGTGCCATAAATTTTGAATTTTATTTAGCTATTCCTTTTTCTTTGTGCCAAATTCAGGGTATTGGCCATCAAAAAGGCCATGAACAATTTGAGAAAGTTCTTATGGGTCTTCTGCGAAGAGTATTAGACACTAATAAGCGGGTCCAAGAAGCTGCTTGTTCAGCGTTTGCTACACTTGAAGAGGTTCCTTATCTAATTAGTGTTGAAAAATATATTTATTATTGTATAAAGTTTTATAGAACTAAAGATATTATTTAATAATAAGCAGGAGGCAGCCAAAGAGTTAGTACCACGCTTGGAGGTTATTCTGCAGCACCTCTTGTGTGCTTTTGGAAAATATCAGGTCTTTCTTTTTTCTTGTTTTTTCTTTTCTTTTTGCATGTATGTTCTACATTTCATATGTAGGTTCTGGTCAACCAACTATAAAAGCATTTGCTAAATGTGAAGTCAATTACAATCTGCTTGTTATTCTTAGAAGTCATACTTCTTTTTTTCTCATTTTTATTTTGTTAAACTGTTGTTTAGAAACGGAACCTTCGGATGGTATATGATGCTATTGGTACATTGGCAGATGCTGTTGGAGGGGAACTCAATCAGGTATCGTTTCTCTCTCTCTCATGCAAGATGGTGCTTATAACTTTCTTGTTTATTTTTATTTCTTTTTGTTTTTTAGCCCCTTCAAGATGGGTATTGTGCGGTTGGGTCAAAGTTTAATGGTCAAAAGTTTAATTTATGTGATGCTTACAATCAGATGGTGCTTGCTTGCTGACTCTCTGACGATTAATACAGCCAAGGTATCTTGATATTTTGATGCCTCCATTAATCTCGAAGTGGCAGCAACTTTCAAATTCGGACAAAGATCTTTTTCCATTGCTTGAGTGCTTTACATCCATTGCACAGGTATTTCTTTCTTTCTTTCTTTCTTTTTTTTTTGTCTAATTTCATCATATTTTTGGGCTTAACCTATGCTACTCATGGTACCGGTAGATAATTTCATCATATTTTATCATGTTCTGTTCTGATATCTATCTGATGATTCCGATTCTAGTCCAGGTAAGATCAAATCTCTAGTGTGCTGACAACTTGACACAATGTTGAAGACATATCTTTGCATATCCACCAAAACTGAATTATCTTGCTCATGTGTGGTTTGGTGTCACTAGAATTCGGTGTTCTTTGAGTACAAATATTTATAGGTTGTAGACATTTTTTTTTTTTGATCAATAACGCTTTCATTAAATCATCAATAGAAGATTTACAAGAGGAAGACAAACACACTTATCTTCCAAGAGCAACAAAGAACCTCAAGAAAGCGAAAAAAAAAAGAAAAAAACACTAAAGTTACAGCTTAGCCCAAAATAGTGAATCCCTTTCAGCCCCTTGTTTAGCTAAACCGTCAGCTAGGGAATTAGCCGATCTTTTAACCCAACATGTCTTAACTTCCATCTCCCGCACCAGTCACTTGAATTTCCTCCTCTCATTGTTGTACTTCCATAAGCCATTGTGATCTTTAATCAGCCACCCTATCACCACCTTTGAATCCCCTTCAATTATGAGTTTCCTGATGTTCAACTCCGCTTTCCGGACTCCTTCCATAACTGCAAAGATCTCAGCTCTAAGGGAGTCACCCACTCCAATTGGGCCTGAGAACATGGCAGAAATGACCCCATTTTCATCCCTAAAAATACTCCCAATCCCCGATTGTCCCGGATTTCCCCTRCTACACCCATCAAAGTTTAATTTCAAGAATCCATTAGGTGGAGGGGTCCAAGCCACACTCATTACTGACTTGGTCTGTGTGCAATTTGCAATTTCACCCCACTTCCTCAATATGTCATCCATAGTGTAATCTGTGAATAGCTCCAAAGATTTCAGCCACTGTACTGCCTAATATGTATGATAGCCCTCAGTTCTGCTGCTCCTCTCTCTGCTTCTGAGAATATCCTAGAGTTTCTTTCTTCCCAAAGTGTCCAACATACTGCAACCCTTAGTCCTCTCCACGTAGTCCTCCCCCTTTTTATCCGCCACCTGAATAAAGAAGGGGAAAAAAGGCCCTGCAAATCTGATGGAGGATTCCAGCTACATCCAGATAGGGAGAAAGCCCAATCCCAAATTGACCTCGCAAAATGGCAAGACACCACTAGGTGAAAACCAGTCTCCCCATCCGCTTTACAAAGAACACACCACTGAGGTGACAAACAAGTATTGGGTCTCTTCTTTTGGAGTARATCACCAGTGTTGATTCTTTCCAGATAGGCTTCCCAACAAAAACTACCAACCCTAGGAGGTATTGCTCTGAACCAAACCTCATCAACAATGAAAGGGGGGAAAGTAGGACTGGTGGACTGACTTAAGACTTTGAAGAAAGAAGCACAAGAAAAGATGCCATTGGGGGTAGGTGTCCAAATTTTAGAATCCGCCCTAGTGGGGTCTAAGACAATGTTATCAAGAATTGCAATAAGGCTCGAAATACTGTCGAAGTCTGATTCCCTCAAATCCCTTCTTAGACCCAAGTTCCACCCAATCCCAGAAGTGGAAGAGGACGAGGTGGTGAAAGACGAGATTGGCTCATTTTTCAAATCAGAAAGAGCAAACAAAGAAGGAAACTGATCCTTTAGAGGGGCACTCTCCACCCAGGTTTGTTCCCAAAATTTTATGGAGTTACCGGAATTCAAATCATACCTGATATTAGGGGAAAAAACTGGTAGCAGGTCATGAATGGCTTTCCAAGGAGAWTTGCTTGTGGTCCTAGCTCTGATTCCAGCGTCCCATCCATTGTGCTCCAGCTCATGTATACTTGCCACTATTCTAGCCCATAGCTTCTCCTTCTCCAAAGGGAACCTCCACAACCACTTTCCCAACAGAGTCATATTCCTTCTCCTTATACTCCCAAGCCTCAAACCACCACAAGTCTTACTCCTACACACTATCTCCCAGCTAACTCTATGATCCTTCTTCTCCTCTCCCAGCTCCAATAGGAAGTCTCTCATTAGCTTCTCCAATCTATTAGCAACCTTCACTGGGATTTTAAACACCGACAGGATAAAGATGGGTAAGTTAGCAAGTGTGGCATTAATTAGTGTAATTCTCCTACCAAGAGAGGTAGTTCTTTTTCTAGGATACCAGTCTTTTTTCAAACTTTTCCACCACTAGGTTCCAAAAGCTCTCTCTCATGGGATTATCACCTAATGGAAACCCTAAGTAGTTCAAAGGCCACCCCGAGACCACACACCCCAGCACTTCAGCACTCTCCCTAATCTCTCCCTCCAAATTCACCCCCACTACACAGCTTTTCCCAAGGTTAACCTTCAAGTTGGACATTTGCTCAAACAGTTGTATCATCGACTTCAA